TTTCTTTTCCTGACATTTAATAATTTTATTTGGAGAATTAAAAAACCTTTATCAATTCTGGGCGACTCCAGGAGGGTTTATACCAGTGAAGCTGGATGTCCAGCACATTTATGGCCGAGTTTTAAAAACAACTGATCCTTCCTTTTCTCCAGGATGTAACAAAAATTGAAAAGAGTTTTCACTTGACTTGAGGTCCCTAAAGGTGATCACTTTTCTTTTTAAGTAGAGAATAGTTTGGGAGGTTTGCGCCCCGTAGGACTTAACCGGATCATTATATGAGTCCATCTCTTAGTTAAATAACTCCTTAAAAGGCTTGTTCTAAATCTTTATTCTATCATACGTAAAACCATTGGTTGTCCATCTCTAATTCTGGTCAAGATAAAAAGGATAAAAGTACACATTGGTGAAAACTTCTACATGATTTAAAACTGAAACAACCCAAACAACTAATGGGTGGAGTTGAGAAAATACAGGATATGGCACAGATAAGGCCAAACACTAACTACATTTGAATATTTTAAATCCACCATCTATCAACCTTTAATTCATAGTGAGTTGCTTATTAAACACATTCTAGGATAAGGAAGATACAAAGTAAACAATCACCAAGCCCTTATGAAGAGCNGTGCTAATGAAAAATTATTGTGCAAATCACGATTAGACTACATGGGCTTTTCCTTCAAAAATCCCAGCAGTTACACATTTTCAATTACTCAGAAATGATGAATATTCTAAAAACATTTCAAGATCATGAGGGTCATGGGAAAAAAAGGAAAGTAGAGAAAGTGTTATGGATCAGCAGAGACTAAGGAGATAAGATAACTAAATGCAATATGGTACTCTGGATTGGATCCTAGAACAGAAAAAGGATATTGAAGCAAAAACTGGTGAAATCCAAATAAAGATCAGAGTTTAGTTAATAGTAATGTAGCAATGTCAGGTTTTTTTTCAGTTTTGATAAATAACACCATGGTAATATAAGCTGTTAACATTAGGAGACACTGGGTAAAAGGTACATGGGAACTCTATCCTCTTTGCAACTTTTCTGTAAATCTAAAATTATCCTCTCCCCAAAGGATTATGAAGCTATTTTAAAGAAATGAATAAAGGAACTAATTGTAATAAAATGATCAGTGAGAGTTTCACTAGCCAGGAAACAATGCAATTAAATAAATAAATTAGTCTAGCTGAAATTGAGGTAAAAATCCAAAAACATTCAAAACTGTACAAAGTGCCCACAAATCTCCAAAGTAAACAAGTTCCTTTGATAGCCTCTGTTGGCTAGCATGTCACATCAGTTCTATATACAAATCGACTTGTGGATCCCAGCATATAAAACATCTGAGAAAAACATCTCCTATATCATTTTGTAAACTATTTGGCTCCCATAAAAGACATGTTAATTAGCTTGATTTAATCAGTCTCTTTTCAGATTTGATAGCAGCCATGCTTTTATTATGCACAGTAGTAGTGTATGTATTGATTAAACTTCTAGCTTTTAAGCAGCATACCTCTAAAAGGGCCTCAGCAAAACCTCAGTTTATCAAAAGCTGTATTTGGGATTATAATGATCAAACATTTAAATAGCACAGGAAACCCGAGGCCATGAAATTTGAGTCATATTTTAAATGACTATTGCTGTCACTAAAAGCATTCGCACAAGTGTTCTTATAAACAGTGGTAGACATGAGTTGAATAAGTCATGGGGGAAACAGAGCAATTCCACTTTACAAGGGAGAGGTCATCTTCCTTCCCAAAGTGACCCCACCTCTCTCAGACTGAATAGGTTTTATACAGAAAGATGGTTTTCCTGGCCAGCAGCTAAGAGGAAGGGGGTGCCCCATAAAGACCTGGTTTCCTTCCTAAACGGTGTCCAAACAGGATTCTCAGCTTCCGCTTTGATACACAGTCTCACTTAATAAATTGTCAATGTTAAAGTTGAAAGAAATAAATACAAAAACAGCTTGATAATTCGCCAAGCTGACTTGGGTCCAATTTAGCTTCGCTTCAACCCATAGTCATTGTACTGTTATCTTAAAATTTCCATGATTTCTTGAGGGTTAAGGAAGGTCAACAGAAGAACAAGAGGTATCAGTATAAAGAGTAATATTTTATAGCAAAAGCATTTTTTTTTAATTTGGTAAATGACCATTTCCTGTTTCTCAATGTCCCTAGCATTGTGTCAGCAAAACCCAGAATCCACATAGGGACATTAAAACAGTCATCAAAGTTAGAGATATACTTAAAGCTATTTATGTTTGGCACTTTTATAGAAAACTACCTTAAAAAAATACATGTTATAAATTTTAAAAATTTTAAAAAATAAAAGTCTGAAGGCCCTTTGAATTTCCACAACCATCAAATCTATTCCCTTGGACTTAGACAGAAATTTAGCATGCATTCTTGAATTTTTATTGAGAATTTACATTCATAAATATAGCCCTGAAAATGCAAAATTTTTGCCTAAGTGATAAATTGTATGTATTTTGCAACTTCATTTTTTATCTATCAATATGATTGGGTAATCTGTTTATGCTAGTCTATAGATCGGTCTCATTTTTTAGACTACTATATACTATTGTAAATGTGAACAAACTGTAATTTATTAATTCTATTGATGAAAGTTTGGTTCCTTCCACTCTTCCAGTTTGTCTGCTACAAGGGATATCTTTTGGGAAAAGGCAAAGGGTAAAAGAAAAAAGAAACATACTAGTTTGTAATAGGAAGTGAACACTTTTGAATATTTAGTGTTATAATTAAAAATGAAATAGTAAAAAAAAATTTTCCTTTTCTACCCTTGTTATACAATAACTTCTAAAACAAGAATATACAATAAAAAATTGTTCTGTTACATCCCAACTTGCCAAACTCTTCATGAGAGCATTTATATAATAAAAATGGAACACTTACATTTCATGTTTAAAACTGTAATAATTATATATAGAACTTTGAAAATTATTTCTAACAAGTTTAGCACTTTAAAGCATCTATTAAATAATTAAGCACATGTAATTAAAGCATTGTCAAAGGAAAATTTAGAGGGAGGAATCTATAGATACTTTCATTCCTAGGTATCAGCACTTCAAATAAAATCTAAGTTTAATTTTGAGATATCTGTCAGCAAAGGAAAAATGGCATCAGTTGGTGACAAAAGCAGGACTCTGAATTTATTCGGAGGATCTTCCTGGGCTGACATCTGGGAGGACTTCATTTCACTCAAATATAAGGATCTTGAATAAAATAGTAATGTATTTACCTTCAGTTTTACAAGTCAAACTCTTCAAATTGATGGATTACACATTTTTGTACACTCACCTTTCCATAAGGCAAAGATTGCATAATATTAAGCAACGATTTGAGGAAGGCATCTCTGCAGGATAGTATTATAAATTTAACCTAATCAGAATATAAAGTCCCATAATCAGAAAAATGGACATTTTCACGTCCCTTACATTTTCAGAAACAATATGCTATATCATAAAGCTTTTATCAAGAGCATACTAACAGTTAATTCCTGGTGAAATTAGCCAGTGAGTGAAAGAGTACAAGAAGTCTGTTTCTGAGTAATGATTCAGGATTTTGGAGCCAAAGGACAAGTTACTGAGAATGGAATTTGGTTTAAAATTTTTAATGTGACTTACAATTATCCTTAAACTATTCAATTTTTTTCTATATATAAAAGAATATTGACTCTACTTAAAAGGCTGTAAGCACAGTAAATATGAAGAGCATTTTAATAGTTGATGAAACTAATTTTTGAGTTAAAGAGATGCTATAATCATTATATTAGAAAATTAAACTATTTTATAATCAGCATATAACAGAGTTTGATATGTGAGAACAAAGGGAAAAAAAACCTCATCTTGAACTCTTTTTAAAGAATTATTATTATGCTTCACTATAAAAATCTTTGATGTAATGAGTTGCCAACTTACTCAATAGTAAAGTTAAACAGAATCAATATGAACGAATAAAACCTTCAGTTGGTTTAGAGAAGAAAGATACATAGTTAAGATCAAAATCCAAACTAAAGAGCCATATTGATTGCCCCATTGTTTGACCTTCCAGTTAGAAATTGAGAACATTTGGGTGTGAACAGCACTATTCTATCAGATGCCTTTCATTCTATGTTAAAGGGAAAATACTTTCGTGTAACAACACCGTGCTACATCAAGTGGTCCCAGCTGATTCATATGGAAAGTGACGCTCCAATAAAATGTGACGAGGACAGACATGTGGCTGGGCAAGAGGAAAATAAATACTCTTTACTTGGTAGCAATTCACATTCTTGTCCCCACTTGGAATTGAGCCTTGTTCCAATGATGTGAGTTACAAACAGCATGAAATATTGAAATGTCCACCAGGTCACTGTTAGCATTGCACAGAGCTCAGCCACCAACCAGCAGCAGCAGCATGGAATTCATCACCCCAGACCTTGCCCACTTCTTCCTCTTCTCCCTTCTGAGATGGTCTATCCTTCCACTGCCTAAAACCCAAACCAGCTCTAAGCCTCGAAAATGGCACAAAACCTTAGTGCGTGCAGCACTTATCAACTGCTCTCTTGAAAATATAAGTCGCCCCTTCAAAAGCAATACATATTCATTCAAAACATTGTGTGAAATTTACAAAAAAAATGTTTAACAGAAAAATCAGATGTTAATATAGCATTTTAAAACAAACATACATCTACAGTTTTTAAAATGCATTTGTTTTTATCTAATGAAAATAGGATCATTGGACAATATCTGGGACTCTAGAGACAGATGAACTGAAGCTAAGTTCTGGCTTTGTCTCAGACCAGTGGGATAACTTTGGATAAGTTACATAAACCCTTTGTTCTTCAGTTTCCTAATCTGTAAAATATGAATTAAAAATGGCTCAAATTCCAGAGATTGTTGTGGAATATCAGCAAAAAGCAGTAAACAGTGATAGGTACCTAGGAATTGCTTATTAAATATCATCTATTTTAGTCTTATTTTAATCACTTCTCTTTTAAGTTAAAAATATATGGAAAAACTCCCATGTAATAATCGATTCATCTATATAATTTAAAATTGTTCTTCATTTTATGAGTATTGGATAATTAACTAATCCTTTGTAACAAGTTAATCGTTTCCAATTTTTAACAATTGTAAACACTGTGATAAATTTATAGTTAGATATCTTTATGCATCCATGATATATTCCCAAAGATAAATTCCTAGAAACAGAATTGCTGAGTCAGAGGAGATGGCTATTTTTAAGGTCTTTGCAAGTATTGCCGACTTACCCTCCTAAAATGCTATACTAATTTACACTCCCAGCCTGGTGAATGAGTCTGTCTACTTCCCTACAACCTCACCAACCCTAGGCATTTTTATTTACTATA